TATATAATAGTTTTAACGTAATCAGTTTATTTTAGATGACACTGATGTCGCTGCGTCTGTCTGTCTGTCTGACCCAGGTGTGACCACAAATCCAGTCTCCATCAATCGGAAGCAGCGTGGTTCACAGCACAGGAGGTTTTGTTTCACACTCAGGCTTCATGGAGATAAAGCTGAGTGGAGAGATGACAGAACAGGGGAAAATGTCCAGATGACAACAGACGTCACATTCCAAATATGCTGACATAGCAGGCTGAACGGATAACAGCTCATCACGTCCCGCCACCGCTCGCTCATCGTCCGTCCAGCCATGTTGTTGAGGAGGAAGCTGTGCGTTGCCCTGGTGATCGCTGCCATCCTCTTCCTCATGCTCGCCAGTCAGAGCATCCAAAGGAGACATTTCCTGTCTCTGTCATTAGTCCTCCCCATCAGCCGGGCCACGCCCACCGACAGGGAGACAGGTGAGGAGCTGATGTCGTCATCACTGGGGTAAAGGAAAAAAAGTCCCAGAAACAGAAAGTGTGACTCAATTTAGCAGCAAGGTTGATCCATCAATCAAGACAGAAAACTGCCAAAAATGGCCGAAGGAGCTGTAATAGTTTTTCTACGACCGTTTTCATCAATATTCACCAAACTAACTGTGTCGTGCTACTGTAAAAGAAACAGCATTAGTAGTAGCAATAACACATTTAGTAGCAGTAGTATTTAGTAGTAGCAGTTCTGTTAGGATAATAGTAGCTAACAGTTTAAGTAGAGCTCCCATGATGCAATGTTCTCTGACTCTTAATCTGTTTGTGTTTACAGTTGTTGAACCCACGGGACCTCTTTCTCTTCCGACCCCTGACCCTCCCAAGACCCCCCCTCCTTCCAGCACCACCCAACCTGAATCCGAGGAGGAGCCTTTGGAGTACTCACAGTATGACCAGAGGTAAGACGCTGAAGGTCACAGACTCTGTTGTACATATCCCATGATTCCCTGTCACTGTCTGACTCCTCTGTGTTGTCTTGTTTCAGGTCATGTGGTTGTAAAAAGACCTGTATTTCAGACCTGGGGGGGTCAGACTGGTTCAGCCAACGTTACGACGGCAAACAGCAGCCGGTCCTCAGAGATACCAACAACAACTTCGACCCCGAAGCGCTCAGATGGTGGCTGGTGAGGACAAAAAGCAGAAATAGTGCAGTTTCTAATATGCATGATGATTCACCAGCCGGAGGTTTAAAATCCAAGTTAAAAAGTCATTATCACAAACATTATCAAGGTTTTATTCACTGAAATAAGTTTAGTTTGACCTTCAGAATTCACTCTTTGAGTCAGTCTCTGTGTCTAAGCTTAACATGCATTATTACCATAAAATAATTCAGGTAATAAACCATTTATTTTACTTTAACTGGTATACTTTTTGCAAGTTAATCTGCATAAATAAAAAAATCAGTGTGTGAGATTTTATTAAGCACTGCAGCTTTACCACAAGTACCTAAAAATCACTGTTGGATTAAATCATTATAAACCTAAATCCTATTATTTCCTGTACTAATATTATTTTATTCTACAATCAGCGATTAAACTGCAGATAACCATAATATCAATATTAATACTTCACAATTACGTTTAAGTCATTAAAGGGAATTGTTTTGAAAAATCTTGTAAGATTTCCAGGTGTTATGTTTTGCTTCCTTGACTGTGGTGCAATAAGAAAGTGTGAGTCCCTGTACAGGAATTAATGGCAGGCTGGAAGTGACCTGACAGCACTGAATTGATGTATGAACACTGAGAATTGTTAAATCAGCTGAATCCCAGAAGACCAAAGAGAATGTGTAATATACCGCATTATGGTCATATAATGTGCTTCAGTTAATAGTCAGGACCACTGATGAAAATAGGTATTTTCATAAAATCAAAATGTAAAAAGTCTTAAAGTTGTTTTTTTCTGCTGAAGCTGTCTGCAGTCTGGATGAAGAGTAGAACATCTAACTACTGCATTTACAGATTGAGTTCTGCTGCAGAAACCATTAGTAGATTAAAGGAGGGCGGTGGGGGTAGAAATACTGCTAACATCATCAGTTTGATCCACAGTATACTGTATATACTGTGTGTGTGTGTGTGTGTGTGTGTGTGTAGTGCTGTAGTTACACTGTAAATATAAAAACATGCAGAAGCTGTCCACAGCATAAAACAAGAATATGAATGTAAAAAAATCTTTTATAGCTGTTGGGAAGTATTATTGTTAAACTAAAGCTAAACTAGCACAACAGGAATATAAAAAGTTAAATAAAGCTACATTAAAAACAATGTGACATCCTCCACAGAGTCTTCAGCGGTCCGGTAATGACCAGACTTTAGAGGAAGTGATGGCAAAAATGTTCCAGGTCATCTCCCCGCCCACTGTTGACTTCAGGCCCCTCCCCTACCGCTGCCGTAGTTGTGCCGTGGTCGGCAACTCTGGCAACCTGCGACGGTCGGGAAACGGCAACCTGATCAACTCCCACGACTTCGTAATCCGGTATGTATGTCCAAGTCCAAGCATACACTCGCAATACCATTCCCATATTCCTCCTGTTTATCTTCCTCACCTTTCTCCTCCACAGGATGAACAAGGCGATGACTCGAGGATTTGAGAAAGACGTTGGGAATCGGACGACGCATCACTTCCTGTACCCAGAGAGCGCGGTGGACGTTGGACGTGGTGTCAGCCTCGTCCTCCTGCCTTTCAAACTGAGAGACTTGGAGTGGCTGACCAGTGCGCTGTCCACTGGCAACGTCAAAATGTATGAAGATTCGGGGTCTAAGATAAGATAAAAACTCAGTTTTTTGGTTATGAAACAGTTTTCTAACAGTGTTTGTATTATTTTGTTTAGCTTCCCGGCTGTTTCTATGTTTATGGGCTGGTTTAATTTACTGTAATGTTCCTGGTTGTTAAATTGGCAGGTTGCTTCCTCTTTGTATTGGGCTCTGTCCATTATAACTATGGCACTTCCCTTGTCCGCTGGTTTTATGACTAGGGGGTTAGGGTTAGGGTTAAAATACAAATACAGTGTCAGTACTTGTTATATATAATATATATTGTACAGAAATGTTGTATCCTACTACGAACACAGACACGTACTTCAATATGAATTTGCACCAAATAGAAAAGAGTGACTTTTGTATATATTATGCATAAAAATACTAATGTAAACATACAACAGATAAACATCAGACAGGACAAAATGTGAACTTAACTGTTAAACATGTAGTGTATACATTAATATACATACATGCAAATAGATAAAGATAGACGTGAAGTATTGTTGATTCTAACATGAAATACTTGATTATGACCAGTTATTATTTCTGTGTGCAGGACCTACATGAGGGTTAAAGACCGAGTGGAGGCTGATAAAGACAAGGTAAAATACAAGCTTCATCGTGCTCTCTCACATCACACTGTTCATACTCTATACTTCCTCTTTTTGTTCTGAGAAAGTTTTGACATCTGCTTTTTTTGAGTAATCATAGAACAAATATCTTTATTCTTAAATATATTTTCTTCCTTTAACTACTCTAGTCATAAGGTTAAACCTAAAATATTTAATTCATTTAAATGTAATACCTCAGTAATAGTGAAGAAAAGAAAAGTCTTTCCGATTATTTATGTACTCAATCATAACTCACATAATTAAACATGTTACCATGGTAACACTGTGTGTGTGTGTGTG